CAATTCAAATACAAAATAAATCAGGGTGTCCCATTTAAAGAAACCTAACTTTGATATGTATAACTTTCTTGGAAAACCCTGTATAATTGAAATTATTTTCAAATTGTTGCCTTTTATGATTATACATCTCGCAGTAGAAACAGATTTTAAAAAAATAAAATGGTTTTTCTCCCCACAGACCAATGCGTTACCGGTGGCCCACCCTGTATAATTGAATACGATTGTTCACTATTATTATTTAACAGATGTTGGTAAATTTTTTTTTTGTTTACTTTAAATTTTCATCCATTTTAAAGAACTATTTTTCTTTTCATATTACTAAATATTACAGTTTATGAAAATTGTATAATTTAAATTTGTTTCTCTTTGACTACAATATTTTATTTGCTTGGTTATTTTTTACTCAAAATAGTTTATTCGCCAATTACTCAAATTAATTAGTTGCTTTTTTGAATGACAAAATTTACTCAAAATAAATATTATTTAATTATGAGCTTGGTTTAGTTCCTATTTTAATGTTATATTATTTTGTTATGCAACGATTTTCTTAGTATATCATTAAAACGATGTATTGCATGAATATGAAATCAGATTGCATGATCTGCCAGTATTGTCTTATTTTTTTATCGTTGTCATTGAATGTGGTATTTTTAATCTATAGGTAATCAAGATATTGTTTGTATCTTTTTAATAATGTACTGACAATTTAATGAAAGCAATTATTTAATTCAATAGTGGATAAAATGCACTAGAACAGATCGATATTAGAGACATATTGCAAATATCTATAACGTCAGCCACTAATAGTGACAACGTAATTAGAGTCAAATAATTTACATGCTAAAATAAGACTTATCAAACCTGAAGTTTTGGCATTATACATATTTCTAACCTCATTTTAAAAATTTTAAATTACAGTTCTTTTTTGTTTTCTATTTTAATACATAATATGGAAGAGGCATTAGAAATTACCATTTTAGAAGATTTAGATGACGATAATATTAAATATTTAATATTAAAAAACTTCTATTTAATACGAATGTCGGCGATCACACACAAAATCTATAAAGTCGCCACTATCTGCTGCCCTTAACACGTTGAGTTCAACATAAGACCGACGTGGTCTCATATTAATTTGGGACAATCAGGCCCCGTGAGACAACATAGGTCTCACAGTCAAGGTCGGCACTTTTGGCCGCGTAGTGCAACGTTGGCTTTACAGAGCGTATCTAAACGCTTTGGAACATCAACTAAGTGAGCTGTGGAGCCCGAAACCAGATGTGGCCTGTTGATATCTTACATTGTGTGAGTCCAACGTGTCACCGCAGTGGCAGGTTGGAACTTTTAATTTATTAAAAAGTCTCTTTTCAATGTTTTAGCTTTTAATTGTAAATACGAGAATATTGGTCTAAGATCCGAAGCCTGTTTAACGGATGAAAGTTTATTTTTATTAAATAAAATTGTTTATAAATATATAGTAAATGGGTTGCCTAAGAAAATACGGTCATGACTATTTATTCTTTTAAAGTAACAAGAAACGACACCCTGTAAAGTATTCCCAAGATGCTTCGACTTTGCCCAAACTTTAATCAGCTCACCGCAGAATGGATTAAAGTTTAAGTTTAAAATTTGGTGTTTTTCTCTTCATCCGTTTTTGAGTTATCTTCAAAATTTGTCCCTTTCCTCAAATATCTCGAATTAGGTCCATTTTAATGAAATCATGTATAGGAACAAAATTATATAGAATGACATCATAAGAAACTTTTATCATAATTCCTATACTTTCCTTATCTGTAGACAGAAAGGAAAGTAAAAACTGGCCGTGACCGTATTTTCTTAGGCAACTCATTTGCGGTATATTTATTAACATTTTATTTAATAGAAAAAAACTTTCATCCATTAAACAGATAGATGAAGGTCGACCTTACTTACGGATCCTGTACTATACAGAAACTACGTAATATTTCGTAAGAAAAAGAGTAACTACTACTACTTCAAAAATAACTAAACCCAAAATTGAACATTTTTTAGGTTTCTTTTTATGTTCCTCAAAAAAGCATGGCAGACAATAATGCTTCTTATATGTAGAACATTTGAAATGCGATTGAGGAGTTTTGTTTGAGGCAATTTGTCTGCCTAACTCATTGGCCAGTTTGTTGTAGAATCTGACGCAGAGATACCGTTGAGAATGACTCAGGTCTTCTAACATATGTGTTTCAACTTTCGATTCATTATTAGCTGTGTTCTCTGATTCATGTTGCTCAATTCCTAATATAATCCCTCAACCACTTGTTCTCTAAAATTTGTTATTGACATTATGTTTTTGGTAACCTCTTGATGGGCAACATGAGCATTTACTAACACTGTTCCAGTAAGTAGTTCAATCGCTAATTTTAGACTCTTACGGAGACAACTGTTATCAAGACTTCATATGGTCGGAAATATCGATGTACGACTTATACTTATTATACTATGTTACATTTTTAGACTTCTTAGCGTCTTTATGCCCTCTACGAACAGTTACTGTTTCATTTGCATATTTAGTCTCGACGATCTTTCCACTTCTGTATTACTATTCCCTCTTCGCACTCTTCTGCTATAAACTCTCCTACAGATAGTTTACTTTGCGTTCCTATTAGACCTCAGTGTTCCCAGAAGGTATGTTTTACGTTGCAAAATATCTAGAGGTGTAGTAATTGTCTGTGCATAACGTGCGTCCTTTGTCTAACAAATTTTCCATTTAATCCATTACCACTTTTGTCGGTACACTAACATTTTCATCTCTTGATTTTCCAGAGTAAACCTTAAAATCATAGGTATAGCCCCCTTCCAAACACAACTTAAAAACTTTAATTCCGAACTTGTGTCTTTTATATCTCTTAATACAAGGGTTTCATCGATACACACATATTCTGACGGTACCTACTATTTTTTGTTGAAATATTTTATTGACCAACGGAGCTATTTTATAAAGGTTTTCTTCTGTCGGTTGCTCATTATCATTAAAGTGAATCATTTTTACTAATAGCTGAAATCTGTTCCTTGACGATATTCGGAATAAAATTTCTATAATTTTTTTCTTACGCTGTGTTGGCATTTCACACAAACCCATAAGCATTACGACGCTCTTTTGTAGACATTGTTCAGCGTAAAGGTTTGTTTCATCTAAAATAAAGAATAACGAAATAAACGAGAGGAGAATTAGAATTACTTACGATCAGTTTGATTATATTATCATTGACAAACATATTATAAAAAAAATTATAGGGTTCTCGGTATAACCATCGTACATGTCAGATTTATATCCAGAAGAATTTTCCGTAAAAGGTATATCTTTTAAAAATTGCCCAGTTGCTAGTTTCCACGTAATATCGTCTTTTGGTTTGTTAATGGTGTTTCCTGTATCGCCTTCTTCATCGCTTGAATCAATCTGGAAAGATCTTATAACACGTTCTATTGTTTCTTCAATAAAATTAGTAGTTTCTAGGCCTTCTTTGTCATTTGCTGGCTCTTGAACACCTACAGATATTGAGGGTTTGTCTGTAATAACTGTTTCTTGCTCTACAGGTAATTGTTTGGTGGCCTTAGATTTTTCTATCTTTATCTTACGAGACGATGAATAACTTTCAGAATCTGAGCTGCTAGAGTCTGACAATATGTATTCGTCAGAAGTTACATTATTTTCAAAGGGATCTTCATTTGCCGTTTCCTCGTCGGACATAAACTCTTGCCATAGGGCATTCAAACGTTGTTGTTTATTTTCATACGACATCCTTACACAAAAACAATCAACTAATACAGGCTCCAACGTGTCTGGCGCCGTTGGAGAGTTTGCGCGCTGCCAATATGGTGTGAAAAAAGTGGGGAGAGCCAATAGGAATGGTGACAAGGGTACTCATGGCATATTTCCTTGTGGCCGAGTGAGACCGATGTGCCTCCGCAAATCAAAATTACTTACACATTTGTAATAAATAATAAGGTAGTTTTACAGAAGTTTCCTAAAAAAAATGGTGTCTGCCCTTGGGACTCATTTTTTTCCAACTCATGGTGGAACTCAACGTGTTAAATATCCACAAATAAGGATAGGCACAATCTTTAACAAAGTCAATTCTAGAACGTAAACGATCTGCGCATTCTCAGATGCCAAAATAAGAGCGGCGCTAATAGTCTTAAGTGAACTTGCAATATCTCTCTAATATTTATTATAAAACTACTGTCAAGTGTCAAAACTAAGTACCATTAAAAGCAGTTTGTTAGTGAGGTCTAGAATAACTCGAAATGAAAAGCCGTTTTACCAATTGTGTTAAAAAAATAGATCCTAAAAAATTAATTTCTAAAACGTATTTTTACCAATATCTCTTTTTTTAAATGGTACCTATTGCCTTCTATATCAAAACATTTTTTTGAAAATAAACATTTGTTCGGGATAAATGAGAATTTGGTAATGCTTTTCATATGTAATTTGACCCAAATCTAATGGCATTTTCGGTAAAAACGATTTTGTTTAAATATAAGTATCATTCGAAATCATGTCTAGTATGTTTTTTCCAAATTTGATCCAAATTGTTTAAAAAATAAAAGAGATTACCGTGATAGTCATTTTCACTTGGTATAACTCCTTGATCCACTATTTAGTTTTGTTGTATACCGCAATGACCAGAGACAATTTACTTTGAACTTTTAGTCTAAATTTAGTATTAATAGTATTAAAAACCTAATAAAATCCATTCAGTTAGAAAAGGGCACTACACTGATTAATTAACCTGATATAAAGGGTACAGTCAAGTGGTTTTTATACAATGTAAGGAAACACAAATTTTGCATGCTAATTCAGTTGTCACTATTCTATTATCATTGCCTGCTAAACACCTCTTTCCTTTTTCCATATCTCTAGTAATACGCTTTGATAATGATTGATTATCCTTTTGCATCGTAATTTACCAATTCCAATTGCATCCTAACCTAATTATTGTATGCTTACTCAAACCGACTATTTCCAGGAACAACACTCAGAAAACCAGGAACGTCACTCGCTGATGCGGGATGCCAAATCAGAGAACGCAATTTCCGAATATGGCGGTGACCTTTCAGCTCAGGGTTTCTCGAACGAAGCCACGGCTCTGGCTTTCAGCGGCGACGAGAGCGACAAACCATCCTCCGAAGACAACATCGATAGCGCAAAAAAGACGGAAATCTTGTTGAGGAAGAGAGAGTACGTCTTGCAAGAACTGATTGATACGGAAGAGGCATACGTCAGAGATTTATGCTTGATCGTCGATGGTTACATAGCCGCTATGAAGGATCCCGAATGCGACATACCCATGCCTGATGATTTGAAAGATGGAAAGGACAAATTGGTGTTTGGAAATATTGAAGTCATTTATGACTGGCATAAAAAGTAAGCTATTTTTATTTATTTATTTTTTCACATCCTTAAATTTTTTTGTAATAATTAAAAGAATACATAGCATTCAATAACTTGTATAATAAAAAAAATATTTAAATAATAAATTAATTTTTCGGCATATAATCTCCCTTTGTCCCAGTGATGCTTCCGAATTTCAAGAGCGTCATGGAAGAATTTTGCTCCATCCTCTTCAAACCATTCATTTGCGGCTGACAACATTGTCACATGAAAATTTTATTCCACGTAAATGTTATTTCAGTTTCAGGGACAATCTGTAGTCTCTAGGGGCCACATCGGGCGAATATGGCAAATGTTCGTCCTATTCAATTGGAATCCCGCTAGATGAATAACGGCCATTACAACACAAGATGTATGACTGGGAGCATTGTCTCGATAAAACATATATAGAATAGAATAATTACCTGTTTTATATATTATTTAGTGTAAACTTTATATGATGAGCCAGCGTTCTCGACAATTTGTCTGATACGCACACGTCGATCTTCAAGCACTTAATCATGGATTTTAATATTCCCATCCGTAGCCACTGTGGTTGGTGGTCCTCCAGCATGAAAGTTTTTACTAGCTGGCAGATACTTCTAAAAACTAACAAATTATTTTTCAAAAATGATACAAAAACAATCATTTGAAAAATAAACATCTATAAAAATATAAGTAACATATGAACAAACATAATACAAAACACACATACACATGACAAGTCTTCATAAATACTCTTGTGGTAAAACACATTGAAAATTGGCCTTCTTAGTGACTTTTATGACAACTTAAGTGCCAGTTCTGCCAAAAAGGGTAATCACATTGTTTTAGGGTTACTTCTGAAGAACAATAATTACTATATAAAATGGTATCAACGATAGTATTCTTCAAAGAAAAAAAACCTATCGGATACTTAGCAATTACCAATGATAACAAAACTGTATCAAAATGTTTACCTTCTCGTAACTTATTATTCCATTAAAAAAAAAGGGGGGAAAGTATTGTTATAACTTAGATGTACTAAATACATATTATATACCTTCCTTCTTACCTTATCGCGTCACATACGTCTCACTACACTTGTCGCCATTTAGATAATCTTTCATTAAACTTTCTGATTAAAATTTTCTGATTAAAAGTAAGATGATTAAACGAAACATACGTGTAATGTAAATGAAAACATGAAATGATCTGAATGTCATTGATATATCGTGGTTAGGAAAACTACGCTTATAACATTAATCCGGAAAAACAATAAATGATTTCAGAATTTTAACATTATCCTTTAATATACTTTCATCCAGGATCCCTATACCGCCCCATTCCATTAGTCACAGCAATTCTGCTAGTTATTTTTTGAAAGCATATCCATGGTCTAAGCTGCTTTTTTTATAACTTGTTGTCCAAATCTGGTTCCTTTCAGTGCTGATTTGTTCTTGGGTAATAAAAAAAATCACAGTCTGTGATTAGGGTGGATTTTCTAATACAGCGATCTAAATTCTTGGCCAAATACCTCTTGAAAAATAGTGCAGTTTGGGCTGAAGCATTGTCCTGATGAAAAAAAACATGATTTTGTTTTGATATCATCTTCCTAACACTCTCTTTGTCGATATCTATGAATTCAGCAAGATCCCAAATACTTAACCAAGATCCGTCTGGGCGCAAATCGTCTACGATCACTTCTCGACCATAGTTGATTACTAAAAATCCTTAATGTGCGATAAACAATCAACATATCCTTCTTCCAAGATTCAGGATGTGGAATATACTCCAGATCCTTAAACCTAAATATAAAATTGGCTGTGAGCTATAGGGCCAGTGTACTTCAAACCGAGCTCACAGGGATTCTCATAGCAGCAAAAGAAGTTACCAGAAACAATATCTCAGATAGCAGACAAGCACTACTCACCCTAGACAGACTACGAATTTACTCAGGGTTAGTACTAGAATGTCACGAGTATTTAGCCGAAGTATCCATCGACAACGTGGTCACCTTAAGATGGATCAGAGGTCATGCCACATTGAAAGGTAACCGTCTTGCTGATTCACTAGCCAATAAGGCAGCCAACCAGATACTTTTTTGACCTGGTCCTTATATTGGACTGACAATATCGGTAGTGGCAGACCTAAATAAAGACCATTCCTTTGTGAAATTCAAAGAAAGATGGGATGAAACGAGAAACTGCAGAGTTGCCAGGGAGTTTTTAAGTTATCCTCAAACACTACATCAAACAAATACTTGACTATGAGTAGACAGAATCTCCGCCTGATCACAGGGATTGTGACTGGTCATTATCAAGTACGGAAACATCTCCATTGCATGGGGCTGTCAAAATCCGCACTCTGCAGGAGGTACTAATAACAAGATGAGACCATCGAGCATATCCTCTACGATTCCCTGATGCTCTCATTTATTAGAAGATTTATGTTCGGAATATCGGCTGTGGGGGGGGGGAGGGGTGACCCACCCTCCTCACGTTACAGATACAGATCTCTATTTTAATAAAGCATACGTTTTTGTGGAAGGTTTTTCGATTTTTACGAATTTTTACATTGAGCCGTTACCTTCCTTGAACACATTAACAGATGTAAGGTTCACTTCAAACGAAGGCCACCAGTCCATTAAGCAGAGCGCAACCTTTGCGATGATAGCAATAATAAAGAGATGACACATAACACGCTCGTGTTCCTATTGACCTTGATGCCATCACTGTTTGTTTGCAGAAGTATCAGTTCGGTTTTCTCTACTTTTTCTAGATAAACTTAGTATAATATAAATTATACCTAATATTTTAATCAAAAATATTGATTTTGTCAAAAATTTTACGCTTACGGCGCGGCGTTTTGAGTTATTAACGACAATTTTTATTAAATAAAAAACGATAATTTAAATATCAAAGGAAACAATTTAGGATTTATCACTAAAATAGGTTTTCTGTTTCAGCTTTTTCCTTAAATCCCTAAAACAAGCCGTAGAAAATCCAATTGAACTAGCTTCGCTTTTCAAACGTTACGAACGCAAGCTGCAAATGTACGTTATCTATTGTAAGAACAAACATGTATCCGAATATATTGTTTCCGAATATCTTGAAACTTATTTCGAAGATTTACGGGTAAAATTAGGACATAAGTTACAACTGTGCGATTTGCTTATTAAGCCTGTGCAAAGAATCATGAAGTACCAATTGATGCTTAAGGATATATTGAAATACACAGAAAGGGCGGGAATAGCTGTGGAAATAGAGCCGCTTAGAGCTGCTTATAATATTATGGTGGTTGTACCAAAGACTGCTAATGATATGATGGATGTAGGAAGACTACAAGGATTTGAGGTTAGTAAATTTAGTTAACGTTAGATACAGTACTGTTTTATTTTAGCAATTTTTATAGAATCCATTTATTTAGCAAACACTATCGCGTGTTTTATTATTAATAATTTTGTATGATAATAATAATAAACAGTACTGCTTGCGACTTTATACAAGTTAGCAAATTCGACGATTACAGACACATGTCGCCTTTAGTTTTATGTTTGTTCATCTGTTAAAGAAATAGTAGTGGCAATTGATAAGTTTTCAGTTGGTGTCAGCATCTCTTCAGGCATGATCTCGCACAACCATCTACCCTCAGTTACCGCTGTCATTTTTAAGAATTTAGAATTCTTATGTAAGAAAATATTTATTTTCTTTTCCTTCTGTAAGACTGAAATAAAGCCTATTTTTCTGCACAGTTAACGATACGGCGTCAGCAGCAATACTTTTCATTCTTAATGCTAATTTGGCTACTTGTTTGCCTATTTCATTACTGATATTTTTAACCACTATTTCAGACTTCAATGGTTTCTGCTTTGGATTATTTCGCTGCTAACCAGAAACCACCTTTAATAAGTGTATTCAAAATTCACATTATACACTTACAACGTGATTTCGAATCACTTCTTGTGCAAAAATTAACTGTTGTTGCAAAGTACAATTTTTTTTTGCAATTTCCATCCAAAATGTATACGAATCAAACGAAGTGAGGTGATTTAAGAGGTGATGGTTGGGTTCAAAGTTATTTTTGATATTTCCCACTTTTACCTTAAACTTCGCTGGTATAATGTTGAGATCAACTCGTTTAACAATGTTCCATTTATATTTACTAGTTCTAAAATATTCATTGAATTGTATCTTCTGTGTGTCTAAAACTTATATTATGTAGTTTATTTCACAAAGAATTTTTAAATTTACCTATATGTAAAATGTTAAGGATATAAACGTCATTATAGTGAATGTCCTAGAGTTGGGCGATATTCCACGAACTGTAATTTCACATGTTGTTTTTCTAATTACCTTGCCCTAGTTGATCGATATCAACCACTTTAAGTTTTAATTATTTTGCAGACATTCTCAGTATTGTATGCGCTTATCACTTATTACTTAGACCGATCCCATAAATGTTTTCCAGAAAAAAATTAAAGACGAATATTTAATTTGTTAATGATTTGAGGAAACAACCCATTTAGTTGAATTTTACTAATCACAGTGACGATTAAAAAAATCACATCATCTCTCAACTTTACTTTTTCTCTGAATTGACGTTAACGTTCTTATCTTTAAGAATTTATACTCAGGTTACTATTTAAAAGTGCTTTGTGAATACTTATATAAGTATAAAATAAATACCTTCTTTTTAGGGTAAAATAACTGCACAAGGAACCCTCCTTTTCCACGGAATGCTGATAGTATCAGATCTTCCCGGACCAGGAACCAATCCTATCGTAGGAAAGAATAAGGAATTGCACGTGTTTTTCTTTGAGCAAAGTATTATATTTTCCGAAGTTGTAGGCAAGAAAACACCGTTTACTAGTCCACAATATATTTATAAAGCTCATATACAAGTAAGTAAAATAATTTAAAAAGTATAAATTACAGATATCAAAACGATTTATATATTTTATTTTATCCATTTTTATCGATTTTTTTCTTAAAATTTTTCTTCAATTTAACAACCGTCGCTGTAATCGTTTTAATGGAAGTTTGTATCACCATCTTTTCAACAATTGCTGCAAATCTGTTTATCTTAAAACACCCTAAAAAATGGCATCACAATTAAATTGCCCGTTTGTCAGAGACTTCTAAAAGTATAGCAAATGATAGAAATATTATCCAATATACTGTTGAGTAAAGAAAAAAGGGGTTCCACAGTTTCCAGCCCCCACTATTGTGATATACAATAATTATACATACCGTTTCACAGAAAAGTTGTAGATCACCATATCGCCTTCTCGACCTCCATCGACATATCTACATAAACAATCACCAACCTAAAGGATTATATTAATATCCAATATAATCCAATTAAGTAAAGAAAAAAGTAGTTTCACAATTTCCTGACCAGAGGCGACCTTCTATTTTATCAAATTGGTAATTCAATAATCTTAGGTGATTTCAATATAACTGATCTGATAAATCATTATAAATTTCATCAAATTACAAGCCTAGTTTCTCGATATAACTCATTAATTAACTTCTGTAACCTGAAGCAGAATAACTTTGTAAAAAACTATAACAATAGAATACTGGACTTGGTTCTTTGCCCTGAAAATCTATTTTGTGAGGTTTTTCAAAACCTACATCCCCTGGTATCAATTGACAACCACCATCCTGCTTTAATTGTGAATTTGGAGATAAATTGTGAAAATGAAAAATTATTTATTACTAATAAAAAACGTTACAACTTTAGGAAAATGGACAACCAAAAATTTACTAACTTGTTAAATAATATACAGTGGGAACAGCTTAATCATCATCCTAATGTTAACTCGGCATGTAATAAATTTAATGAAATTATCCAGACCTTTATTGTTCAGTGTGTTCCGCTAAAGTCAACTAAAACTAGAAAATATCCAATCTGGTATTCTCGTGATTTAATACTTAGCTTAGAAAAAACAACTTTCTAAAACTTTATAAAAAACATAAACTTCTCTTTTGTGTGCAACGTTATAAAAACCTAAGACTAATTATAAAACGTTATATAAATAGCTGTTATAATAGATTCATTCAAATTCAGAAAATAACATTAAACTAAATCCCCTTCGTTTTTGGTCATATATTCAATCCAAACAAAATAAAACTAGGATTCCCGGGAAAATATCATACAGTAACGAAACCCCAATCACTCCCCCAATCTGTGAATGCTTTTGCCAGGCACTTTAGTAGCGTGTTGAGTGATGGATCTGATGATGAGATACTTGATGATGTTGATACAAATCCTAGTAATTTCCTTAATATTAGTTATATATCTCAAGATCAAATTATCAACGAAGTTAATAAATTGAATCGGTGAGTGAAAGAACAGTACAAGTGCCAAAAACGGCAATTTTAACTGAGATAGGCAAATTGTTTAAAATTCATAGGCCTATCACATAGCGAAAGAATAATACACAGACCATCATCATACGAGCGTTGGGGGCTTGTTCAATTTTCGGTTGAGTGAAAGAACAGTACAAGTACGACGCATGTACCGTTTTTTCACTCAGTAGCCATGTCGTTTCGTAGACAAATTTAACACGGATTTCAAAAACTGGTGGTCGCAATTTCATAAAAAAACCTCTAAATCAGCTGATGAACAAAAAGCTAATTTTGTCATTCCACAGTACAGCCAGTTTACATACACTGGTAAAACTTCTGGATATGTTACTATAAGTGCCTTCATAGCCGGTTTTCTCTCGCACACTTTTATGTGTGGGGCGCATTAGACTGATATCAAACCTATGCCAATCTGCAGTTACCCTTATGGCGGGCATACACGTTACGGTCTGTCTGTAAAGGTGTGCCTGCACAGGTACACATGCACGCTACGGCGCGACATGAAGCCCACCTGCGCAGGTAGGCCTCTCCGGTAGACCGTTACGTGTATGCTCGCCATTAGAAAAGGCATACTCAGAAGTTGTCCATTAAAGAAGATAGCCAATATATAGATAATTTTATTCTACTTTAGTGATGAAATCCTAGAGTTTTACTACCATATATTATTTCTTGGAAAGTCAAAAATGAAGATTCTGATTAAAAAATTACAAATAAGTTTGTTAAATAATAATCAATAAAGTTACAAACAATAATTAAAGCATTTTTTTTAAATTGAGTGAAAGAACAGTATAATTTTATTTTTAAATTTATGTACGTATTATTATCGGTTAACAAAAATTCTATAACTTCACAATACATAATTAGGCCGAATAACCCATAGTTCTCCTTTAAAACATTTTTTTTGTTTTTCTCAAAATGATCATTTTGGATATGTATTGTTCTTTCACTCACCGATTCAATTAAAAAATAAGTTAACCTGTGGTCCTGATAATATTTCATCCAAACTGGTAAAAAATTATATAGGTTTTTTGTCAGTTCCACTCTTTTACATATTTAATCGTATACTACAAGAAGAGGCCTATCCAGACATTTGGAAAATATCTAGAATCTGTCCCGTTTTCAAAGCTGGTAAAGTTTCTGATATATCAAATTTTCTTAAATAATATTTTCTAATATATTCCCACGTAAAAAATTAAATCACGGAATACCAACATGGCTTTGTGAAGCTCAGAAGTACCGCGTCAAATCTGTGTACATTTACGCAATACATATCTAGTTCTTTAGACTGTAGAAATCAAGTTGACGTCGCATACACAGATTTTAGTAAAGCGTTTGATAAGGTGTCAAAAACAATTTACTTCTGAAACTGAGACAGTTTGGTGTTTCAAAGAGTATGTAATCACTGTTAAAGTCTTTTTTAACTGATCGACAGTTATATGTTGAATACGAGAGTACCAAATCTTTTAATTTCGTGTCAACGTCAGGGGTTCCTCAGGGCTCGAATTTTTGCCCATTACTAATTGTTATTTTTATTAATGACATCTGTTATTGTATCAACTCTAAGAAACTTTTGTTTGCAGACGATATGAAAATTTATAGGGAAATAAAGGATACCTCAGATTGCATTGCTCTTCAAAATGACCTTGTCAACTTACATAACTGTTGCATCGTAAATAAACTATCTTTGAATACTAACAAATGCAAAGTCCTGTCCTTTTCTAGGAAAGTAAACACTGTCTTATATGATTATCAATTAGATAATCTTGTTATTCTCCGGATATATAATTACAGAGATTTAGGTATCTTATTTGACAGCAAACTGACTTTTTTGGAACACATTGAAAACACTGTACAAAGTACAACAAAAATCTTGGGTTTTGTTATTAGAAACTGTAAAAAGTTTAAACTTTTAGAAGCCATCTTCTCTGTTTATTTTTCACTAGTTCGTAGCAAACTGGTGTATTGCAGTTGTGTTTGGAATACTAATCATTTAAAGTACATAAGTGCATTAGAATCTGTCCAAAGAAAATTTTTAAAATTTACTTACTTTAAAAAACATGGCCGTTATCCTATTCGTCAATATGACTATAATTTATTGTTAGAAGAATTCAGTTTTGTGAATCTGAGAAAAAGAAGAGAAATAGCAGATTTTATATTCATCTATAAATTAATAATTCTATAGACTCATCTTCTCTGCTGTCTCAATTTAATTTTCATATCCCACGTATTATGTCTAGGTTCAAATATAACATTTCATATTCAAGGGCTAAATTCACAACATCACTTTCACAGTCCTGTAGAAGTGTCAATCAGTATTCTCTTGATATATTTTTTCTAAAATTTTACCAATTTAGAAAGCAATGTTACAGATTGGTATAAAATTAGGTAATTAGAATGTAATTTAGTTAAGTAAGTATTCTCAAACTTTGTATTTTTAAATATATTATATACTCCTGTAATTGGGCTGATAAAGCTTGTTGGATGTATTAATAAATAAATAAATAAATAACAGAACCCCATTAATTATACATTCCTTTTCGCAGCAAGTTGTAGATCACTATATCATCTTCTCAACCTCCATCGATATACTTAAACAAAATCACCAAATATTGCTAATCATTCTTTTCACTACTGAAGTAGATTATAACGATGCTAGGGAATTGGAGGTATTTCCTTTAAAACATTTATTTGCAATCCCTCGGATGGAAGTGTTACTGCGCTCACTATACTTAGCCATTATAAGTTAACCCTATAATGTTTAACAATTTTCCGAAATAACCCCTTTATCAAACACTTTTTCTTCATTTTTAGGTTAACAAAATGTCCTTACAACCCAAAGATGACTGCTTTGTAATACAATCGACGGACCCCAGCCGTAGTATGGGATTCGTGTGTCAGACTGCGACGGAAGAGTTGCAAGAACAATGGCTGATCACCATCTCGGACACCCTCCAAAAACAGAAGGATTTCCTTAAGGCCATCCAGAGTCCTATAGCTTACCAAAAAGAGTTGACCACTAAAGAAGCGTGAGTATCCGAATTGACGCTAACTCTGGTTGTGATTGTTTAATGGTTTTATTTTTAAATTTCCGTTTTTATAGTTGCTAATATTAAGTGATAGATTTGACTTAAAGTGGGTAGATGTTTCGAAATTATTCATTGTTAAATAATTTTTGTCAGACTCCAGTGGTCCAAACCGTGATTAATTATGTGATAAACAATTGTCAGAACAAATCAGTTAGGTGAAAAAGTGGCTGCTTAACGGTTCTGACAAAAATGTTATAACAACGTCGTTAGACCATCTAAAAGCCGTATTATGAGAGACATAATATGATATGAAATCTCTAATAGTAAAACAAGTATTTCACGCCTGTTAAATAATTCAACTAGCTACAAGTTTCATTAGTATTAATGTTACTTTTGAATTTCATTTAAGTATGTCACATACTTTAACCTTATTTTCATAAATGCAGTTCTGTTGTCGGGTGTTGTTTGTCATTTAATTCCTAATTCTAAAACAACTGTCCTAATAGTCTATTTTAGCTTCTCCTACATTCTGAAAAAAAAAAAATCGTATGAGACTGCATGTTTTAAATTTCATCTTTCTCAGTAACTGTAAACTTATTTAATACTTCTTTTGCCTTGTCCTTCCGAAATTAAAGATTTTATGGATGCTCATTTAACCCATTTTTGTCCTCATTTTTCAAAAATAACATGTGCATTGTTTGAAAATTCATGTTTTTTGCTTCTGAATATGTACCTTTGATTTATCAAACGCTTTCCAACCCAACTTCTTGTTTATTACTTCATTTTTACTTTCTTGGCGATATTTCTGGTATTCATCTGTTAATTTTATATCATTTTTTTTTATCTAGGTTATGTAATTAAATTTAATTGTTTTATTTTATTATAAATATTCCGGTTACTTAACTACCTATTTAAATTTGAATGTATAATTTGAATTAAAATAATGTTTAATAAACCAAGTAAACAATAACCATTGAATCATCAATTTATGCTGAGATTATAGTATTAAGAAATAATTTTATAATTTTAGTCAACAATTGAATCATAATACGGCATATGGTCAATCTATCATTAATATTGACGTTTACAATTATTATTACTAATAGTGTATTTTTATTACCATCAAAATTATTGTGAAATGCATAAATCAATAGCATTTATTACAAAACTATGGTTCAGTTAACATTGATTTCTGCATTATTTGTTACCTTATTATTTTCAAATCAAAATGAATCAACAATTTTTCGCGACAAATATAAATACCCAAGCAACTATTATCATTACTACTACATTCGATGATTTTTGATATATTTTTCTACAAATAAAATAAAAATAGAAAAATTAACAATGTTAAAAACAGTACAAAATAAATATTTATTTAATTTTCACATTTAATTATGAAGCCATTTCAAATAATTGTAAACAATACAATAGTCGTGTAAATGTTTAGAAAAACCGATACCGAGAAGGTGTAATTGGTCGAGGGATGATTATTAATTTGAAACTGAGCAATTTTCAAACTCATTTTGGTTTTATTTTTGTTATAAAACTAAATGAATACAAAAATCATCAAGTGTGTCAATTCAAATAATGATAGAAGCAGTGACAACTGTAGGTTTACTTGGGATTACAAATCAAAAAAAGAAAACTTATTTAGTAGTGAAAATATGAAAATAAGAGAATTCTGTTACCTGAATTTAATTTTTTAAGTTTGATATAACTCGCATTTTTATAGCATATTATGTGACACAAATTACTGATTCCTTGAAACGCATTTATTTCAAACTTAATCAGTGAAAATTTAGGCAAGTCGATTTTTTGTTCTCTATGTTTTCACACAAACGATGAACGTAAAACTTTAATAACTTCTTGAACTATAAGATAAAATAATATCATATTTAAAAGTAGACATTTCTTTACTAAATGTTTTTAATCTATAGATCCCTGACTGTATCATGAATACAAACTAAATACATAAGAAATTAAGTTTCTAAAGAAATCATTGTGATCTTTTCTAAATAATAATAATAACATAGATGCATATTTTTTTTTTTGGCAAAGCTACTGCTTAAAATTTTTTGTTAAAAATTACATATATACATCATTTTACATTCCCCCTGTTTGAATCGAACTTATAATAACTAATAGACTAGCCGGTAATCCCAGATTTTGTCAACGTTTTTTTTTAATGTATGCATCTTTTAAGTTATGATTATTATAGGTTTTTAACATGTTCTAGCCAATTATCTAAGATTGCTCGCATGCAGCGGCGTCACCAAGCAAATTTGATTTTTTATTGAAAATGGATAATTCCGAACGATTAATAAATGTTATGCAAATCGTTCTTTGTTAAAATTTGAAAAAAATATACTACGGAAAATAATCTGCATACGCCTTCTTCGTGCACTACGTCCCGAAATTGTTAATTGAACGTGTAAAAAAGAAGAGACATTGAAGAACAATTATTTAACGTTCTTATGCTTTTCACAGCCTTATTTTTGTAGTTAAATAGACCATAAAAAGCTACTTTGCGTACAATCGCGGTGTGCACATGGGTTGCGGTAATTTTTTAAACATGTACTTTTTGTAATTACAATTATTTAAACCACTCCCGAAATATTGGTGTTTTCACTCGAAATCAGTGAAATGACTGCAAATTTTCTCAAAAATTCTGAAATCGTTATCGAAAATCATGGTCGAAATCATCACCGAAATCACTTCGAAATCAATTCGTCGCTCAAAAACGTAAATGCAGCAAGAGACAAGGGAATAATAAAAAAAAGGTTATTTTATAAAATTAAGGTGGGTTTTCAGCGAAATCACCGAAATCACATAAACATTTTTTAGATCATTTCCGAAATAAGGGTACGTTTTGACCTTAATGGTTTCGCCCCTCGAGTTCGACTATGAGAAAATAATTGGGTAAATATGCGCGAAAAAAAATTGCATACATTTCAGAGGTGTTTCAAATATTTGCATACCCTAAAAATGGTCGCAAAACAATCGATGCACTTTAGACAATTAACAAACGTATGCTATTTTATTTTTAGTAAACTTCTTGATAAAATATCATGATTTAGTAACTTGCATACGTTTCCAACGAGTACAACAATAAAAAATGGACGAAAAAATTCTAAATAACGTTGAACAATGATTATATTAAATGAAGGCTATTTGAAATAGTGATAAATTACGTGAGAATATTTAAGGGTAACATAACGAGACTTTGATAAATAGTCGACTATTTTTATTGTTTCTGAATCTTGAGAATATTCTTTTTTTGTGTCATCGGCATCAACTGCTACTGTTATTAGCCTCGTGTTCTGTGTAGGCTTTGTTATTGTTTCCCAGCGCCACTTTAGGAACAGCACTGTTAATTAGTACCCAATATCAATTTGATGAGACATTATTTTTGGCATTAATAATTTGATTAGAGCCCGAGAGTTTTAGCTCGAGGGCTTTAATCAATTGATTATTAATGCCAAAATTATGTAGAATCAAAATGTTCTAGAAATTTAGCAAGAACAAAAATAATATTAATTAAGGTCGTGTTATATTTAAGAGAAATAGTCGGTGATATTTGGTCTAGGGAGATAGTCAAAGGTAATATAACGAGACTTTGATAAATAGTAGACTATTTTTATTGTTTCTAAATTTTGAGTGTTTTTGATATCAATTTGTCGAGATATAATTTTGTCATTCATAATCTTTGATTATTAATGACAAGATTATGTCGAGACAAATTGCAAAATACACGAAAAATTTTCTAACTATAGCAATAGGCGCTAATTTATTAAGGTCAAGTTATATTTTATGAGACTATTTCTAGAGCACTAAATATAACTTAAATTCATAAATACACAATAAAATAACTTTTATTTTCGGTTCATTTTGAAATGTTCCACGAGATATTAGCTTGTACTCTGACAATAAATATATTTGACAGTAGTCGTTATTTAACATTAAACCTATAATCAAGTATGCGAGTGGCTGTCAACAAAGGTGAATAACAAGCACCAGGGTATGGATAGTCGATTTGGTATTGTCATTAAAAACAGTCGATTTATTTGGTTCCGAATAGTTCTACCGATAACGTAAATTGCGATGTGATTGGTTAAAATGTCCATGTTGACAGGCTAGGGAAATAAGGGTAATATACCAAGTCGGCTATTTTTGTTGAATCTAAATCTCGAGAATATTTTAATATCAATTTGACGCGACATAATTTTTGGCATTAATAATCTGATTAGAGCCCAAGAGCTTTAGCTCGAGGGCATTAAAAAAATGATTATTAATGCCAAAATTATGTAGAATCAAATTATAAAAAATTTTTGAGAAATTTAGCAACAATAAAAATAGCAGAATATTAATCAAGGTCGTATTATATTTGGGACGACTATTTCACTAGACCAAATATCGATTAGTTCTCTAGAGAAATAGTCGCTGGTGTTTGGTCTAGGGAGATAGTCAAGTAAATTCATTTGCATACGATTCCGGTATGTACAACGATGTATACTCGTCAATATACATCTATGATACTCGTATATTTTGTGTGACGTCATGCACTGCACATGACAGGTAAACTTAAAACTTCCCGTTCTCTCTGCGCGTCCATGATGTGTTTTGGTTCATTGCATAGTATCCAGGTGCCACTAAAATACACAGTTGCACGCAGGCAACGTAGACAACCAGTAAAGTAGATTTGAGATTTTCGACATGTCGCCACTGTTATTGTTTGTTTGTATTGTTTTTAAATTATATCGGCTGTGGCGTCGTTAATATTTTCCAATACGTAACAAGTTGGCAAATATTAATGTGAATATTTCTAATTGAGAAAATAAATTAAACACAAAATATTAATTTGTATGTTTCAAAATGAGTGTTGGTCTTCCAATCGGAAACGCAATCACTGTCACCAGGATTCTGCCCAGTAGATTATTGGGACTGCCCAATTATCTAGTGAGCAGAATCTTGGTGTCATTGACTAGTTATAATCGTTG